TCTTTATTTAACTAATGAATTTGATAATTTGACAATTATTAGAGAGATAGTTTAATGCATAAATACTCATGAAATATGTATCATATTTTAAAATTCTCTATGATATATCAAAACACATTTATTAGATCTGCTTTAAGCCTCGTGTTGCAGCTGATAGTTAATTAAGTTCTTTTAATGCAGAAACGCAAATTAGCGTTCGGTTAAAAACCCATATCATGGGGTCACGCCTAGACATTGAATTGAACAATACATTAAATATCAATGATTGCAATCACTAATCGGACTTATACACTCAAAAACTCTCTCTTTGACAATGTCATTGGTTAGTAAAATCTCATTAATGGTCTTGTTCAGTGAGCGCCACTCATATTCAAAAACTGCACAGCAAACTCTCTTCGACTGGTAGTGCGCTTCCTCCTAAAAACTTCTAATTCTTCTCCCAAAGTATGATCTTTAATAAATTCTTCAAAGTTCTCAAAAACTCAGAGACACTCTTCTGAAAATATTCTATAAAACCCCATACTCCAAGTGAGCAACCTTGAGCTCTATATATAGAGCTTGTAAATCACCACTTATTCACGTTAATCTTAATCTAAGTCAAACTCCGATAACTTCAAATGTTTCAATGATTATCTCCTCTTTATTCAAACTGCTCATACGATAAAACTTGAATTTCAAATATCAAACTAAATCTGGATTACTCCACTTCACATACAAGCATATGTTATATATTGTTGATGGTGAATTTCAGTCAACAAGAAATTAACTCTCCGATAACACTCGCAATAATCTCTCACGTATTAATTAGGGATTAATGATGCTGAATAAGTAAATGAGATAAAAGTTTATAGTAGTTCGGCTAAAATTCTTTGCCTACATCCACTTGTGCATGCACTAATATATTGTAGATTACAAGCTTTCTGTAGTAGTCTGGAAGTGAGAGTAAAAAACTTAATGAATTCTTGGCTCTATTTATAGGCCTTGTACATATGAGAGACCCCCTCTGCATTTCCAGAGGAGATCATCCTCTATCCCTTAATTTGAGGATTTGGCAGCAGGACTTCCATGATTATTGCCTCCCAGTCAGGATAACCACTCTTACCCAATACCTGGGTTCCTGACTTCAACAGTGGCGGGAGTTGATACAGTGTATCTTTGCCTAGACTGACAGCGGATTTGACCAGGCTGGTGTCTCGACGTCGTGGCCCTTGCCACCTGGGCGGGGCTCTCGACGCGCATTAGCATACGCGAATTCTCGACGTCTAAAGGGCACTCTGGACACACTAGTTCCCTCGGCATCAGCGACTGACCCTCAATAGTGAGGCCTTAGCGCTTGTCACCCAAAGAAACGGTCGATTCCTCGACCGTGTTGTAACACACACACACATATATATATAACAAAACAATCATAATGCCTTTCAAAGTGCAATCCAATAAATAATGATAAATCTTTATTTTTCACTCTATCAGATAATCTTTATAATTATCCTCGTTTTAATATTGCTGCCCTTCTAAGATAAACCCTCGTCATTCTCAAATCTTATTCATTTAGAATCTGGATTTCTGTTGCACTTCTATCTTGATATTCAATTTTGAAATCTACACATCTTCACTTCAAAGAAACTAAATCAAGTGTCTCCAACTAGACTCCATCTTCCTTTACAGAATATGGTGGATTAATTTTCATACCACTATTTAGAGCATCTAAGTACATGTAGCATCGAGATCTAATATGGCCCAGTAAATGGAAATAGTGACACGTAGGAATGATCCTTTTACGTTGAGGACGTGAAGTAGTAAATTTCTTATCAGGGGTAGTCCAAGGCTTAAAGGCAGTAGACTCCTTGACAAATATTGTTTTTGACATTGAAGTTTCTCTAGTGTAACCTAGTCCCTGACGATCACTACTTGCTTTTCCTATCGAAAGAAATTTGGCGGTGTCAGAATTCATCATCTTCAGAATCTTTTGAGTGTTCTCCAATGCAGCCCTTGTTTTTTGTAACTTCTTATTCTTTTCAGCAACAAGGGATTCATAATTAACAGCAGCTTTCTTCAACACAAAATTAAAGAGAACGTGATTCACGTGCCTCGACATTATCCTTGCCAATTCAGTTTTCTAAGTTTGGTAGAAGGTTGAATTTGTGTTGTAACAATTTTAATACATTGTTCTTACAATAAGTTGATATATATTGTTATTCTTTGTATTATCTATATTATAATACAAAGATGAAGCTATAGAGAAATTTACTCTTTACAAGCAAGAAATAGAAAAGTAACTTAATAAAAAGATTAAGATGGTAAGAAATAACTAAGGTGGTGAATATGTCGATCCATCAAATATAACATTATATAAATGCATGACGCGTGTATATATATATATATATATATAAGTATGTGTATTTATATATACATGGATTATTTTTTAATGGTTAGTGATATGCGTCAAATATAACAAATTAATTATATGATTTTATTAATTAATATACATTTTTAATCTAACAATTAAAATAATATAACCTACAAATGAATAAATATAAAAAAAAAGTACAGTAAAACAATTAATAATTTTTTTTGGGACGTGTGTCTAGATATATATATATATATATATATATATATGTGGAATTTTTATACACCGGATAATCTCCTTCCAAAAGTATAGTGGATATATAAGATATCATCCTCCAACTTGTTTAAGACTGAATTGCTATAATTAAGACTGATTAAGAAGTTGGCTAATTTTTTGACGCAACACATGAACTCATTAAACTTGTTCTTAATGATATGATATGATAAGAATTTAATTTAATTATTATTATTTTTGAAAACGGAATAGTACATTGCCTATCATAATCATAGGTAACTAGATGCATGTACATCCTTTTTCTGTTGATAGTGCAACCATAATAATATAATAATATGATAATCGCAGCCATACCCATTAATTTCATAGTACTTCATAGTTCTTATACTGACAACTTCAGCTAGTGATCCTTCCATATTCAAAGCACAATTGCGTGAATAATTTATTCGAAATATTTAGATTTATATATTAGGAATTAGTTATTTATTTATTTATAGTAAGATATAAATTAGGATTATTAGGGGTAATCTTCTCTTCCTTTTGCTTGTAGGGCTATTAAACACGCTCTTATCAATTATGAATATGTTAGGATACCAATCTAATCCCGATTTGTTTACTAAATCATGAAGTGTCATAATTTTATTGGTAGAGTTCAACCTCTTATTATTAATTAATGTTATAATCTTTTAAACACTTACTAATAAAATTAAGATATCTCATAAATTGATATACAAATTGGAATTAAAGTTAGTGTCCCTATCATTATTCTCAATTTGTTTATTGTAGTTTTTCTTATTTATTTATTTACAATTGCGATAATAAGAAACCTTAGTCTCCTATTTCTCGTATTCTCGATTTTTTCTTTGGGTAATCTCATAGGATTAATACATACATACATACATACATAAATGTGAGTGTAAATATGTTGTCCCTAATTATTGTCTCTTAGAATACATGAACACGTGTTATAAACACTTATTTCTCGTTCACTTCGTAGATTCGAGTTTTCAATTCGAGCTGAGATGTGATATTTTCTGAGAGCTTTTCACTGTAACAGAAAAAGTTAGATGTGACATTTTCTGAAAACTTTTTGCTGTAGAAACTTAAAACTGAAAACTCAAATTGGTGAAATGAACGATGCTTTATTCTTATAAGATAAATACATATCTTAAATTCCTAACTCTTCCTATCTTGTTCTACGTCACTATCTCCTGCTTGGAGAACATCGACCCCAATGATAAAAAACTTAGAATAATCATGAAGTAATTATAATATAAAAGACAAGAGCATCTTTATTCTCAACACTTAACGAAAGTAGCCATATGAACTTGATATTTTCGATTATATTATATAGTCATCATTGCTGTAGATAAAATGCAGAAAATACTCGAGCCTTTGAATTAGCAAGATAAGAAAACAATTGTACTCTTTGAAAATTAATTCCATAATCTTATTATAAGGTATTTGTCTTCTTTCCTCTACAGTCTACACTATACGAATTCTACCAACACGTTACTAAGGTGAAACTAAAAATATAAGTAGAGATGACATTCTTATCTATAGTTATTTTATATTCATAGGTACCTTCCCCTCAGAAGAGAGTATCCGAGATACTATATGAGAATAGAGGCAGGGGTGGATATTAGAGCTAAAATTATCTCTTTAACCGGTAGCAAGATGAGATCCACCCGTCCCGACCCAATTATATGAGCTTTTATTATTTATTTATGATATATATATATATATATATATATATAACTTAACTTAGAGTTATTGGTGATGCTGAACATTTTGCTCTCCGATCTTTTAATTTTAGCATGTTAGTCCTTAAGCTTTTTGATTTTTAATTTGTTTGGTAGAGAGAGTTCGGAAAAGGAAGGTGGACAAATTATGGTGACGAGAAGTAACGCCGTCAGGGACAAATGCTTTGAAGGGGGAAGAAACAAATTATTATGGATAATTTCATTCTTAAAATTACGCATAGTTAAATACTTGCATATACAACTTAATACGAGGGTTTATAAAGGTTAAATTTGAAAATTTATCTCTTACTCTTTCCTTCAATCTCTTGT